TACTGTTTTTGTGTATATATCTGTGTGTGTGGTGGGACAGTTGGTGTGAGTGTGGGTGTGCGCGTGGGTGTGCGCGTGGGTGTGGGTGATGGCATGGGCGTGGGCCTTGGTGTGCGCGTGGTTGCGTATATATATATATATATACATATATATATATATATATACGTAATATATATATATATATATATATATATATATATATATAATATATACATATATATATATATACCTATATTACTATATATATATATATATATATATATATATAACTATATATATGTATATGTATATGTATATATATATACATGTTTACATATATATATATATATATATATATATATATGTGTGTGTGTGTGTGTGTGTGTGTGTGTGTGTGTGTGTGTGTGTGTGTGTGTGTGTGTATGTAAGTATTTATAACGTATAAAAGAATGCGCTCTGAACATTCTTTTCGTTTCTTTGTAACCTATCGTCTTTCTGGCAGAATTGCTCATCTGGACGATGATGGCGAAACTGTTTCCGGTCGATCATGTGGTGCCAGTCCTATACCCTTCGGACTGCGTGTGATCCCTCTAAATAGACCGGAGGTTGGAGCCTCATTCATAACATTGTCGAAGCCTCAACCAAACATTGCGACAGTGAAAGCAATGAAGGTCAATCCTATGTGCAGTTATGCGCTGCTGCAATGCACAAATGCTCTGTTCTGCTGCAGGTTGCCCCCGCGCAACATGGAGTGCGCGCCTGGGTCGCCCCCATTCCTGGGGTAGGTTTTTGTAGGTTTTTTCGTCATGAATTTGTGTATTTGTGTTTGTGAATCGCTTAGCAGTTAATAATCCTCCCGGCAGAGAGATCGTATACACGCTTTTTATAGGTACATTTTTTTTCTTCATGAATTGAACATCGATTCTCTTGTATAGTATCTCATATTCTGTCTACACCTTTACATCTAGTCACTCATACTTTTGTACATGTATGCAGCCGGCTTGTTTAATCTATCTGGATATCCTCACAGCTATTAGTGAAACTACGCCGTCGGACTAGCTGATGGACTATCCTAACTATGGTCTTCGAATTCGTACTATCACACACGTGCATAGACCCCATACACCTAACTCACGAACAAATCATAGCTACAAGTCCTATTTTCCGCTGCTTTTGTGCTACACAGTGCGGGGATGGAGCCGATATGCATTGGGCGACGCCTGCACAAAAACTTACCGCATGTGACAATTCGATCAGCTCAATGGCACACACTGAGCAGACACGGCGGACATGTTTTAGTATTGACTAGCGATGGTTATGTGCGTCTGTACAATCTCGCCCGTGTGTTAAGGGATGAGTACACCAAACAAGCGTATATCGATGAATGTGAGATGGAAGGTACAGTCATATAAAGGCTATGGGAGTGGAATTGTTCGCTTGTGGTTGCACTTCTGGTGGTTCGTGGTCCGTGTGTGTATGTGTATTGACAGGGCACGCTCTTCTATGACACTCGCTGCGTTTTCTGGCTGTATTACAACGTGATATGGAATGTTGAGCGTTGTGTCACATATCCAATATATGTTGTTGTACATCGAATCTAGTGCACTATCACGCCTGTATCATCACCTTGCAATCATTTCTCATACCAACATCGCGTCTCGGCACGAATACACCAACAGTCGCCGTGTGCACAGGTAACGATACCAGATCGGTTGTCTCTATGAGCCTGCCGACCACAGGCAAAGTCACGGCATCGCGTGGGTGGGCGTCCATGGCAGCGCGTGTGTTGCTTAGCGATGGGTCCATTACCACACTGTGCCCGGTTGTTCCCAAAGACTGCAATCTGTGTTGGGATGATGTACTACAGATGCAGGAAGGGTATGTGCGTTATTGACGGCGACGCTGGTGTGGTGTATTTGTTTATGTTTAGGGGTGCACATATTGTGTGTGTGTTCAGTAGTGCGCTCGTGTGTGTGTATATATGTTATTATTTGGAAAGCAGCTTGGTATACATCACATTAAGTATAATGCGCTATCGTGAATATCCGTTTCATCGGTACTCACTTTATACTTTTGTCATATAGAATTGCGGAATTAAGTGAGCTACAACAGAACCCGTCCACGCAACGGAAGCTCGCTATAACGAGCGCTTGGGTGGATAAACTGGCCGAGCAATTGACACAAGCAGATGGTATGACATCCGTATCCTATCTCTTTGGTAAAAGCATAGAACAAAGTGTACCTTTCTCGTCAGTACACATGCGCTTTATCACGAAAAAATATTTTTTTATTGTCCTACAGTCCGCTCACCACTCGGTACGTAAGACAGACTTTCAGTCAACTGATACCATGTACTTTCCCGTTTGTTGTCGAATATCACATGGATATCAGTGGGTACGTGCATGTTCATCCAAGCTCTAATCGCCCCATTGTCACCGTGTCGTCCAAGTGAGCACTGATCACACTCGTGCCGACTTGTACAAGGATTGGTAAGTACTAACACGACTTTGTCGCCTCATTGCCCTGCTAGGAGAGTCTTCTGACGATCACACACTCCAATGTCTAACTGCGCCAGCATTACGGAGTCCGGTACAACGGGTCGAAGCTAGGCCGTCAGGAAATGTATGGAGTGCTTTGCCATTGTTGATTAGTATTCCACCTACCCCTAGCTATGTTCGGGCACGTCAATATATCAGTATGAATGCAGTTCGAAGTGCATCAGTTGCACTCACTCGGCATGCTTGTATCGACAGTACGCCCGACTTTGATGAGTGTTAGCTTCAAGAAGTCGATGAATACGACGTTTGCTTCTATGGTTATTTCAGTGTAGCTTGTAAATTCAGTTTTGCCTCGTTTAAGATTCTACGTAGCTTTAATCGCTCGTGCAATATGACACATGCCTTTGTTTTGTGTACGATATGTCAGTGCACTATAAAGACCACTGCTTGACAGTGCTGATCGATACCAACGCTAGTTGTACGTGTTACTTTCTGATTATGTACGACAATGCTTCACTGCTGGTGCAGCTCGCGAAATTNTTTAAAATATATATCTATATATATATATGTGTGTGTATGTATATATATATTACATATATATGTATATATCTATATATATCTATATATATGTATGTATAAATATACATATATATATATATATATATATATAATATATATCTATCTATATATATATATATATATATATATATATATATATATATATATATATATATATATATATAGTATATATATATA